GGAAAGAGGGAGAGAGGGAGAACACACCCTCCAAATGGGGCATCGTCATGCTGCAGTCCCTTTTGCATTTCTCCATCCTGCCCAGATTTGGGGCATGCATGTACACGTGTGGTCAAACTGTGGTTGGCTATGTGCAATCCAGCTCCCTTTAGCCACTAGTCTAAGAGGCCAACCCTGTATTTGTTTTTGTTTTAAAGATTAAGAAGCACTCTCAACAAGGTCTTATACCATGATCCTCCCAAGCCAGGATCCCCCATGATTCTTTCCAGCCAGCCAGGATCATGGGCACACATCCTGTGTGCGCAGGTCTACCTGGGAATCGAACCAGTGACCTTCCATATGGAAGCAGTGTGTTTCTGCTTAAGTGGTGTATTACTGCCATGCCACTGAGCTGGCCCTTTTTCTGTTTTTAATGATGTTGGAAAAAATCAGCCAGAACTGGGTGTTGACTCTGACTGAATACCTCTTCACTTGGTTGAGTTTTTTTCTTACTGCCCTGTTAAAATGTTTAAAAGTGCAGGAAACACTGGGCATTCAAAAAAAAATTTTATCATCCATTTGCTCTTAAATGTGTGTAAAGGAGCGAGGAAGAAAAGGTTAGCCAGCGCCAGCTTTCAGGGCGTTAACTTAGCATGAAGAATCAGAGTGTCTTTTTGATTAACGTAAGGCACTATGGCTTCAAATAATTGTCCAGCCACGCAGTCATGTAGAGTCATCGTCCTGCCCATGATTTGTTTTGGCGAGGGTGTGCTGGGGCTGCAGAGGGTACTCGGGGCTGTCGTCTGGGACCTACCTGGACAGGTGTGGCCGTCCAGCTGGAGCGCTGGGCAGGCGAGGGCCCACTGGGAGGCCATTTCCACATCACACTTAGTGAGGTAGTTAGGACACCGTGGTTTGGGTGAACTGGTCACAATGGGTGGTGGTGGTTTCTTCTCTCCCCAGAACTGTCTCAACAAACAGCAGCTCCTCACGGCCATCCGCCAGTTGCAGCAGCTGCTGAAGGGCCAGGAGACCCGCTTCGCCGAGGGTATCCGCCACATGAAGAGCCGGCTGGCCGCACTGCAGAGCTCTGTGAGCAGGCTGGCCCCTGACGCCCCCCCAGGTGGGTCCCCAAGTCAGACCTCTGGGGCCCCAGGACAACGCTCAAGCACTTCCCCAGCGATTCCCTCCTCACTGCAATTTGTCTTTGCCTGAGACCACTGGGCCACGCCTCACCTGACGTCTGTGCCCCATGTTTTAACCCCAGTTGGAGTGTTGGAGTGTGCATGCATGCACACGGTGACTACACTGTTCGAGTCCCAGAACCAGCAGCTTGAGAAATATGTCAGGTGCATGTGCGTGCATGCCCACAGTCCCAAAAGGAGGGAGAAGTGGAGAAGGGACTCTGTGTGACCATTCCCCATTGGTGGGGGAGGTTGTGCTTTCTCACCTCCATCTCTGAGCACACGTGCCCTCTGGCAAATTAACAAAACAAAACAAAAGAAGGCATCTGCCTTCTCGCTTCTTACCCAGTCTGAATATCACCCTGTTTTCCCTTATGCTTTTTGTAGTCTAGGTGTCACTGCTTATATGTACATATTACCTTTGCAGACCTGTTGAAAGGCACCACTTTAGAGCTGGACCTGCCTTTTCCTTCCCTGTCCTACTCAGGGAGACAACAGTTGGGCCCAGTTTTGTTTTTTCATTCAAAAAGGGTCTTGCCATGTGTACAGATACATACCACTATGCCTGGCTCACTCTTCTTTTCTTTCTCTCTCTCTCTCTTTTTTTTTTTAATTTATTTCTTCCATGAGAAAAAGAGGTAGAGAGAGACAGCAGACCCTGCCAGGGTCTTCACACTGCAATACACCCCCAGTCTCGGCTGGCCCAACTCATGAGCACATGCACACCGCGTGTGCTCAGGGAGGTCCGGGTTCACACCCCGCGTGTGTCTGGCTGTGTTACCACTGCACCACCACCTGGCCAGCCTCTAGTTTAAGATCCTCCTGCCTCAGCCTCCCCGAGTACTGGGTGGTACCCTTGGGTCAGACTACGAATGGAACCTGGGGCTCCCGTGTGGTCCCATCCTGCAGAGGGCAGCACCGTACAGGGTGCCAATGCAGCTGGGCCCCAGTGTTGTGTTTAATTTAATAGACAATTTTTAGAGTGGTTTTAAGTTCACAACAAAACTGAATGGCAAGCACACTGCTCCCACACCCATCCTCCACCTACACACACATCCCGCCATCCAAGACCCACTCACTGTGCTGATTTGTGCTAGTCCATGAGTCAACAGTGACTCCAGCTTTTCAGCCTCAACATTAAGTCCTCCGAGTCCCCGATTAGCAGTGGGAGTGGTGGGAAGGGCCATGGAGGACTAGTTCCAGGTGTCGAGTGAGGTTGCCGCAGGCACCTCAAGACTCCCTCTGATGAGGGCAGGACTCAGATGGATGCTGGGGAACTTTTCCCTGGTTGCCCCAGGCATGGCCTTCACACCCTCAAGGACCCAGAGATGACTCTGGTTTCCTCTGGCCTCAGGGTGTTGGGGGCAGAGGACAGTTATCCTGTGCATTCTCAGCCAGGAACCTGCGGAATATCTGGCACCATCCACTCCCTGAAGGCACGTTTATCAAGGGCTGCCTTTGTCATGGGGGATGGAGTTTCTTCTGGGGAAGGCATTGCATTTCCTACCTTGTCAGGAATTATAGTGGCAAATCCAAGTCTTAGCAGCACCACATTGACTGCTGCTTGCCTTGGCTCTGCTGGGAACGAGCTGGACCTACGAGCCAATCAGCCCTCACCCTGTACAAGGCACTCTCGCCCAGGCCTGAGCATTAGTGGGGCTCACCATACTCAGGGCAAACTTCCTTCTTCCTACAGTTGGGAGAACTGAGGCCAAGAGAAGTGGATTAGCTGTCAGAGGTCCCTGCCCTAGTGATTTTTTTTCCTACTGAAGGCCCGACTCCACAGAGCCTTCCTGTTTTCATAAGACTGAAGCTGCCTGAGGCCCCTGAGCATTTTCAGTGAAGAGCCCGCCTGGAATAATTTATAAAACTGCCCTGCCCACATTAGAGGCCTTTGTGCACTAGACAGTTGGAAAGGTAGCCATCATGACATTATCAGTCCTCCTGTCCCCAGATTTGAGGGTCTTTCTTCCCTGAAATGAGCTAGATTTTTAAAGGTGGCTCCTTTTAAAAGATTGCCAGTGTAGGCCCAGCCACTGTGCCACGGTGGTAACGCTAGTGCCCTACCTTGCTGGAAGCCACATGGCAACCATGGCTCCGATCCCAAGTGGACATGAAAACATGCTGGGCACGTGCATGGGTGCCCAGGATCCTGAGGACCTGGACAGCTGGGGGTGGGGGATCACAGCATGGTAAGATTCTATAGAGGGTGATTTCTCTCTACCTCTCTCTCGCTTTCTCTTGTCACAGAGGCATAGAAAAGAAAAGGGGAGAAAAGTGTTTGTCGCCATGTATTGTGTCTCTCACATTATGTGCTGGACATCGTGATGAGCACTTGCTGAGCAGGGGGATGCCCTGTATTGGTGCTGCAGAGGACAGGAAGCTGTCAGCATCCCGGTGCAGGGGGTGGGGAGCGTCCCTGTCCCTGGATGAAGGCCGGAACTTTGTCCAAGATCACATGGCAAGTAGAGCAGAAACGATATTTTATTTATTTATGTATATATTTTTTTTTCATTTATTTATTTGTTTTTACTTTGCCAGAGGACACATGTGCTCACAGAGGAGAACTGAGGGAGAAGAGGGGAATGACCATGGGAGACGGTCATCTAGTCAAGAATTTTCTTTTCAAGTTTTTGCATAGGGTGCGTGTGCTCACCAGAGAGAGAAAGTAAGAGGGAAAATGAGAAACCACCCTCCAGGGAATATGGCCATACTGTAATCCCTTCTCCTCCATTCTCCTCCTGGGATTTTGGGCATGCATGCACAGGTTCCTGGTGCGATTTTTCAAACCGCAGGGTCTAGGACTTGAACCACAGTCAACCATGTGGGAGTCCAGCACCTTAACCACCACACCACCTGCTGGCCCCTTCAATAGTTACTTGTTGAGCACTCCTTGTGTGCCAGGCACTCACTGGTGCTGGGCAGAAAGCAGAGACACAGGCAAGCTGCATTCTGAGAAGACCAACAACAAACGTGAAATTTCCAGTGGTTACAAATGCTAAGAAGAAAGCAAAGTGAGCTGATGGACTCAAGCGTGCCTGAGGAGGCCTTGGGTGGGCAGAGTGGGCAGGCAGCACTCTGGGAGGTGGTGGCATTTAAGAGGAGATCTGACAAGTGAGAAGCAGAGAAGTTCTGGGGAGAAAACATTCTTTGCAAAGAGAAGGGCAAAAGCCCAGGTTGTAAGTGAGGCTGAGCCCTGCGCCAGGAGACCCAAAGAAACCCCGTGGGGCTGGAGCTCTGAGAAAGCAGAGCAAGTGGGTGGCAGCTATGGACTGGGGCACTCATCCCAGCAGGAGTCCCAGCTGTGATCCCTCCCACTTGTGAGGCCCTGCATACAACACACAGGGTCTCTGAACCCCAGTCTCCTCGCCTCTTGCTAAGTGGGTGTCACATTATCCAAGAGTGCTCTGAGGAGCCCATGACTGGTGGTGTTAGGTTGCCTCGCATGGCACACAGCCTGCCGTAGGCCCTGGTGGGGACGTCTTGCAGTTCAGAGGGATGTCTGAATAGATGTGGTCCAGGAGGAAGAGCTCCTAATCCTTTCTTTTCTCCTCACAGTTTCCTGCCCAGCTCTGAACGCTCCTCCAGATGGCAGGAAGTTTGGAAGCAAGTACTTGGTGGATCACGAAGTCCATTTTACCTGCAACCCTGGGTTCCGGCTGGTCGGGCCCAACAGTGTGGTGTGTCTTCCCAATGGTACCTGGACGGGGGAGCAGCCCCGCTGTAGAGGTATGGCCCATCCTTCCCATCCCACCGGGTCATTCCTTGGGACTCTTTCTGCCTGAGCCTTTTTTTTTTTTAATAACAAAACAAAACAAAGACTTTTTAAAAAAAAATTATTTTATTTATTTATTTTTATTTGACCAGAGAGGAACACAGTGAGGGGAGGAGAGTGAGAAAGCAAGTGGCCCTTCACCAAGCCACCTGTCGGCTACTAAAATTTCTTATGGTACCAGCAGATGGCATAGTGGTTATGTCTCTGGACCCAGTGGCTTCAAAATCATGCTGAGCACATGTGCGTGCATGCCCAAGATCCTGAAAAAAGAATGGAGGAGAAGGGATTGTGGCGTGGCCAAGTTGGGGAGTGATTTCTCACTTTCCCTCTCACTGTGTCTGTCTCTCTGTCTTTCTGGTGAGCACACATGCCCGAAGACAAAAACCTCTAAAAAGATTATTTATTTATTATTATTATTGTGGTGGTGGTGGTTACTAATTTGCAGTGGGGCATGTGTGCTCACCAGAGAGAGAAAGAGAGAGAGAGAAAGTAAAAATACAAAGCAACCAGTTTCAGGATTTGAACCAGTCACATGGGAATCCAGTTCCCTGACCATCACACCCCCTGCTGGCCCCTCTGCCTGAGTCTTTAATCATTCCTCAACTGCAGACCAGCGGGCAACGAGGGTCTGAGCACTCACTTCCATGTCAGGCCTGGGCTGTTTTCCACCTGCAGGAATTCACTAAACTTCACACCAGTTTAGTCTTGTTTTTCGTATATGGACATCGAGGCACGGAGAGCTTAAGGAACTTGTGCAAGGTGGCAGCGGGGGTGGGGGGCAGGCTGAGCTGATTCACTCCCAGATGCTCTGACCCCAGAGTGTTTGCCCCTCCATGTCTCACTCTGAGACTGCCTGTGGGTGGGGAGGGGAACGAGAGGAAGGTACTGCAGGGGAACATGCCTCGTGGCTCTTTGTTCTTGAGGCTGCCATGTGTGCGTGTCCTCCAGGCTGAGGAAACGTTTCAGGTGTCCTTTGAGTCTGCACTGGGATGTGGAGACAGGCTCCAGGAGAGAACGTTCCAGTGAAAGAAAGGCATGAAGAGGTCTCTCTTTTCTCCATGCTAGGTTTGAAAACACTCCTTTTGAGGGGAGGGGTGGCTAGTAGTTAGAGAGCCAGATCCCACGTGGTCAGCCACTTGCCCTGGAAAGTGGATTGGGGAAGATGAAGCCAGCCCGTACAAAGAAGAGTCCCCAGGAGCTCGGGGTGGGAGCGAGATGCCATGAACTGTTTAAAGAAAATGGCAGCCAAACAAAACATGGGGAAGCTGCCAGCTTCAACAAGGCCAGGCTGAAGAAGATTGAGACACAGGAGAACACCCTGCCAACCAAAGAGACCACCCAGCAGAAGCGGAGGGAAATTTCCTAAGCACCTGGAGGATTCCCCACCCTGTCATCAAGCCTCCAGTCAAGATGTGGAGGAAGAGCCCCCTGTGAAATGGACATGAGACGCTCCTGGGCATGCCACACCAATGGCACTGGCCTGTAGGTCACTGAGGGGACCCCTCCAATCAGACTTCCAAATTCTGCAGTGTGCCCTGGAGCATCATAGAAAAGTATTTGTATACTTAATGAAGATAAAACACACCTCGCTGCAAACAGAGCAAAAAGAAAGGACGAGAGCAGAGTGCAAGTCGCACTGGGCCACGAAGGTCACCCGTGCCCTGCACGACCGCCACGCTGTGGAGCGGACGGCCCACCGGCAAGTGTACCTAGCACGTCTGCTGACCTTTCCCGTAGGCCCACATGGTGACCCGCCCAGTTTTTGCCCTTGAACTTACCAACTCAGCCCAGCTTTGCCCGGGTTCTTTGTCTCCCCTCGGCCCCCAGTCTTTCTCTGCTGACCTCCACACCAGAGGACTGCATGGTGCAGCTGACCCTGGACTTCCACTGGGGCCACATTTGCCATCTAAAACTCGAGGAGCATTGGCTCAGGGGACAGGGTGGTGCCAATCTGTGCTGAGATCTCGGATGGCTGTTTTTCATGTAAGTGTAGACTGGGCATGGGCGTTCCTTCCATGGCACCGACTGAACAGAAATACTTGTTTATCACAGCCAAGCTGTTCAACCAGTTGCTGGACATGGCCTCTTCCAAGTGACGAGACTGCCTGTGGTGACATTCCTG